ATTGAATTCATCCAATTAACATTGAAATACTGTAAATTAGCATTCAACTTCATCAAATAACATTTAATTCATGTAACTAATATTCAAATTAATCCAATTAACATCCAAAGTATTCTAAAAAATATTCAATTTATCAAATCAACACCAAAGTATTATGCAATTTTGTTCAATTAACATTCAATTCATCAAATTGACATCAAATTAACATCCAAATACATCTATTTGCATTCAATTCATCTAATTAATATTCAATTTTCATCCAATTGACAATCATTTTAATAAATTACATTCAATTAATATTCAATTCACCAAATTAACACAAATTTAGCATTTAATTCATCAAATTAACATTCAAACTCAACTGGTTAACATTGAATTTAGCAATTTAATATCAAAATTAGCTTTCAGTTTTATTCAATTAATATTTAATTCATCTAATTAATACAAAATTAACATTCAATTCATCCAATTTATATTCGTTCAAATTACTCTAATTATCAATCAATTCATCAATATCAAAAATCATCTAATAAATATTTCATTCATCAAATTAACACTAAAGTAACATGTAATTAGCACCAAACTAATAGTCAATTCATAAAATTGACATTAAATTAAATTCCAAATTTATCCAAAAAAACATTCAGTTCATCAAAATAACATTCAATTTATCAAATTAACAATAAAATAACACTCAAATTTTTCAAATTAACATTCAATTCATCAAATCGACTTTCAAATTCAATTGGCTAATATTAAATTCATTAAATTACCATCAATATTAACATTTAATTTCATCTAATTAATATTCAATTCATCTAATTAACACTAAATTAGCATTCAATTTCATCAAATTAACAATCAATGTATCAAATCAATAGATTAACATTCAATTATATTTAATTAACATTTGATTTACCAAATTAACATAAAATTAACAGTCAATTGTATCTAATTAACATTCAGTTTATCAAATTAATATTCAAATTCAATAGATTAGCATCAAATTAACATTTAATTTCACCCAATTCAATTAATCAAATTGACACCAAATTAAAATTCAATTTCATCCAATTGATATTCAAATTCATCACATTAACACTTAATTTATTAAATTAACATCTAAAATCATCAAATAAAACAATAAATTAACATTAAAATTCAATTGATTTAACATTCAATTTCAGTCAACTAACATTTAATTCATTAAATTAAAAAAAATTAACATTCAATGCATCAAATTAACATTCAAACTCAATTTGTTAACATTAAATTCATCAAATTAACATTAATGTTAACATTTAATTTTTTCTAACTAATATGTAATTCATCAAATTAACACAAAATTGATATTTAATGTTAACATTTGTTACATCAAATTAAAATCCAAAATCATCCAATAAACATTCACTTTCATTCAATTAACATTCAATTCATTAACTTAATGTCAAATTGACATTCACATTTATCAAATTAACATTCAATTTCATCCATTTAACATTCAATTCATTAAGAAGGGATTAAGGGGACTTGAACCCTTGACCTCAAGAAGAGATGAAATTAAATTTTAAATTCATGAATATAAATGTTAATTTTATAAAATTGGCTGTCAATTTGGTTTTAATTTGGTAAAATTGATTTTTAATAAGTAAAATTGAAGTTTAATTTGATGTAAATTTAATAAAATTGAATGTTAAATTCAAAAAATTTAATATTAATTTAATAAAATTGACAGCCAATTTTGTGTTAGTTTGATAAAGTTTGATTTTAATAAATAAAATTGAAGGTGAATTTGATGTTAATTTGCTGAAATTAAATTTTGAATTGATAAAATCAAATGTTAATTTGGTGTTTCTTTGATGAATTGGATCTCAATTGAATGAAATTGAATGTTAAGTTCAAGAATTTTTATGTTACTTTGATAAAATTGGCTGTTAGTATGGTTTTAATTTTATGAAACTAAAAACAATTTAAATTGAAGGTGAACTTGATTTTAATTTGATGAAATTTAATTGTAATTTTTTGAAATTGAATGTTAATTTTTTGTTTATTTGGATGAAATTGAATATTAAATTTATGAATATCAATGTTAATTTGATAAAATTGATGGATAATTTAATATTAATTTGATGAAATTGAATTTTAATAAATAAAATTGAAGGTGAATTTGGTGTTAATTTGATAAAACTAAATTTTAAATTGATGAAATTGAATGTTAATTTGGTTATTCATTTGATGAATCGAAACTCAATTGGATGAAAATAAACATTAAATTCATGAATTTTAATGCTTATTTAATAAAATTGGCAATCAATTTGGTGTTAATTTTATGAAATCAAATTTTAATAAATAAAATTGATGGTGATTTTTTTTATTAATTTTGTGAAATTAAATTTGAATTGATGAAATTGAATGTTTATTTGGTGTTAATTTGTTGAAATAAAATTTTGATTAGATGAATTTGAATGTTACAACCTTTTGGTATTGCTAACACTATTTGGAATTAGTGGTTTTTTTTTTTTTAAATCTCCAAAATGCTTGCAATCAATCCCAATAAATTGGGATCTATCGCAAAGTTACTCTAGTCTCTCCCAAGTGTGGTTTCCTCACCCAAATTTGGTAACGTACAACCGATCTTATTAAAAAAAATGTAAGTTTGAAATCGATCACAAACGTCTATAATAGGTCATTGGATTGAATCTTATTGAAACCTAGAGGATTGATGACCAATCACAAGCATTTTGGATAATATTAACCCCATATTGGTTAGATTTGATATTTGAGTAAATCACATAAATGACTCCTGAACTTTGCTATTTTTTAAAAATTGCACCCTAAACTCTTAATTTTTTGATTTTACCCCCTGAACTATTTAAATCATTTTAATCAACACCTTCCGTTAGATTTCACCATTAAATAAGGATAAAACCCAAACGGCAAATGCATATGACATATATTGAAGATCATTTTCGGCATTTCACATATTGGGGTACTAATTTTAGGCGCCAAAATTCCCTCCTCCTAATGCTCTGTTCCTCAACTTAGTCCCTTCATCTCCTACATTCAACGACTGAAGCATAATGTCTTAGTTAGGGTTAGGGTTTTGTGTTCCTAATTCCTAAAAGGTAGACCTTTCATCTCCTTCCCATCTCCTAATCATCTCCTACATTCAATGACTAACTAAACCACAATGATTTGGTTATTGCGGGCAGTGGGTATTATCTTCCAGTAGACTTGTTGTGATAAATTTATAAGTTTAAAGGAGAATTTACAAATTTTTGGTTAAAATTACAACTACTTTGGACAATATTATGAACATAAATTGTCAATTTACCATATTAGTGGGTTAAGTTAAAAGATAGTCAATCATACTCTATATTACTAACTTTGTCCACAATTTTGGTAACCTTGCCCTCAATAATGGTATGCATACTCTTAATTGTGGGAACTCATCCACAATGTGGTAATTGGTACTTTCAACCCCTTTTGCTGTAAATTCGCATCTATTGAGTAGACTATTGTTATTGTAAAGTTACCCATTTTTGTTGTAAATATATCATTACACTTTATAATTTTGTTTACTACTATTATAAATTCTCCACTAATGTTGTAATTGTCATTGATGTTATAATTTTTTTAGTAATATTATAATTTTGCTCACTATTGTGACAAATTTTCTCACTACTATTATAAATTATCACTGATGTTGTAATTTTACTACTACTGTGATAATTTTATCCACTATTATATTAATTTTATTCACTAATGTTAAAATCCATTGAAGTTATAATTTTGTTCATTACTTATGTAAATTTTTCACTGCAATTATAAATTTTTTATTGATGTTATAATTTTGCCCGTATGGACAATTTAAAAGAAAAAAAAAAACCGTTGACGCCAATTGCCTTACTTTGACCTTTACACATGTTAGTTTCTGCAGTCTTCTACAACCTTGAGCTTTTCAGTACTATACTAAAATGCTTATTGACTGGATCGTAGAGAAGTCCTCTTGCTTTCTGAAAACAGCAATAAGGGAGAGTCATTTCTACTTATAAGTTGGATAACGCTCAAATGGATCCAACCCCCTAAAATCTCATAGCCCGCTTCTTTAGATTCAGTGTTTTGAAATCCACTTTTCTCATCTAATTCGTCACCCACCCCTTAATTACGAAGTCCTTATCATTCCAGGGCGGCTCAACAGTAAAAATTAAAAAGTTTCAACTTTAGACCCCATTTTTATGAAAGGCCCCAAATTTTTAGATACCTTAAATAACCTATTTGAAAAAACTAAATTCATAAATATTTTAAGCTTGACAAAAAAACATCATAAAAACACATCCAATTAAAAATAATTTTAAATTCAATCATTTAGGCTTATAATCCAACCGAAACATTAAAAATTACAAAAATTAATGATAAAGAGAAAATTATCAAATCAAATCATTACTTACAACTCTCTCTCTCTCTCTTAAGAAGCTCAGTTGGCCAACACCCAATAAAAAGACAGACCAACTATGTCACAAGACAAATTAGTTAGATTAGCGATACTATTAATTAATAAAAAAAATATATGATAACAAAACTTAAATATAAAACTTAATTAGTACTTTTTCATTTCAAAGGTAAGAATAATAAATTTATACTAAACATAGAAAACTTTATTTATAGATACCGTTTCAAGCCTCAAATTACCTAACCCCCCCCCCCCCCCCCCATCATTCTATACTCATTTTACGCACTCATCTCCTTCCAACTCTACCTTAACCCTAACGGTTCCCTCCTTGAGGCCACCAGGCCAACCGAAATAAATGGTTTCCTTTAGTTGCCGAATCACACATTTGGGGGCGGATTCGATCGACATTTGTCTGCGCAAAAACTAGTGAAGCTATTTACAAAGAGGGAAAGTGAAAAATTCTACTAGATCATTAACGCCGCCTGCCCGCCCACCGACCGAATATTCTAACAGCAGATGTGAGTTGGTATGTCCGGAAGCCATCACAATGAATTGAATACATTTACAACATGGAGGCATGAAACACAAACACGCCGTCTAAACTGAGAAACGATAAACCACAGAACCTACGTGTGTGTGGGTTCTGTTAAAGGAAGTCATAAAATGTTCAGAGCAATGCTACAACAAAAATGTAAGGTGGAGATCAGTAATTAAGAAAAAACACGAGCCATCAACCCACTTTTTACCACAGCCGTCAACAGCATAGGTGACGCCAACAGTTTCGTAACTCTTCGCCAGTTTCCTGCTAGCAGAAAAAGAGAAACATACCGGTTGTACCAGCAAGACGGCTGACTTGATAAATAACTAGTTTATAAAGATCAAAGCAAGGAAAAAACAAAAAAAAAAAGTATGAATTCTCTCACTTTACAGACTTTTTTTTCCTTTCAAATTTCGAACTTGTATGCTAAAAAAGGTGGGGTTCAGAAGCTTGATGCCCATCCAATCAATGACTCAGAAGACCATAAAAAGACCGTGCGCCCAGGCAAGCGGGGTTGACGACAGATGAGACAACAATTTGAGTGTCATCAGAATAAATGGCCCCTAACTAAAGCCAGCATAACATACCCCTTCCTAAAAAAGCCAGCTGTTTCCCTAACCAAGCAAGAACTTGAACACATCACTCAAAGAAATTATGCCTTCTACACGATTAGTACCAGCCTCCACAATCACGAGTCTCCTAACCCCTGTACATAAGCCAGAAATTGCTCTAGTAGGTAAAAATTGTTACTTTAAACTAATTGAGCAACCTGATAAAACAATATCTACAAGACCTATCACAGTGATGCGAAAACTTAAAATAAAATGTCAAAACTGGGAGGAGAAGAAAGCAAAAGTTCTAAAACTAGTACCAGGAATTGCTAGCCGTTCCATCACTTTGTGCAAAGGATCGGATCGCAAACACATCTGACATCTCTGCCCGTTGGAAGGAGAACTCACATCTTGTCCCAGTTGGAGTGCCTACATCGGAAAAAGGAAAAAGACACAAGGGCAGTTCTCAGTCATATGGTACATACAAACCAATTTTCTGAAATGAACTTCATTTCGAGCTTAATTCTTCTGTTGAACTATTGCTGTAATCATTCCCGACAAGAGAGCTCTTGAAAGACAAAAAAATTGAAATCATGAAAAGGCAGAAAACAATCCCTTAGTTCATCTGATCATATCTTCATGACCATCATTAGCATCATTACAGAAGGTTCTTTGCATAGAATCTAGGAAGCATACCTTAGTTCAACTGATCACTAGAATCAAGGCAGTAATATCATATGGATAAGCAGTGGAAAAGTTCCTATATTAATTACGTGATTAAGTGTCCAAAGATATGGAGAAAACAGTAAATGTAGAGATTATAGTGGACAAAAGGGGGGGAAAGTAGCATGCTGAATAATCATAGCAAGCACATAAATTAAATGACCTTAACTGTTGCAGTACTACTACTGAGTACTGACACCAACATGTATAGCTATACTGCAAAGTGACGTTGTCAACCTTTTCTCATAGCACAACCATACTCTCTTACTAACTTTTCTGGCCACCTCAAAGAAGCAATAAAGTAATAAACAACAATACGAAAGTGAACTTACTTTCCCTTTTCCTCATTCTGAAGAAGTACAATCTATTTAAGGTTGTCTACATTCATAAACAAGTATTAAGACTAACTGTTTACAAGTAAATGGCGCTACACTGATTCTTAAACTTAAGCAATTTTCTCAGATTAGCTTTCGGAATTTACCTGATGAATGCTCAATTCATCAAGGTGAATTTGCGCATATGCCTTGTCTTTTGCCAAAGCTGTGATGTCACTGTCAAGGGAATAACAAGCATATATAATATTCAATTAACAAATGGAATTGGGATTCAATGACCAATGTCTAAATTACAGATATAGTCTTTAAGATGCAGCAGAACAGAAAATTACCTTCGACAATATATATCGAGCAGTGAGTCATTGTCATCCACTATTGGTATTGAACTAACTTCAGCTGCAATAGGAAAAGATAAAATTCCATAAGACAAGACAAAACAGCAGATGAAACTTGAAAATTACTTGTTTTTTACAGATATTGAAACATTTGATGTCGTACAGAACAAAATCCCAAAAACTGTTTCAGTGACCATAATGAGAAAAATGATTTGTTATACCGATACTTACTTGATCTAGATGAATAAGTTCATCCATAAATAAGCACAGAAATGGTACTCCCTCAAATAACAAAAAACATCATATTTACACAAAATAAGAGGGGAAAAAAGAAAAGAAAAGGCAGGGAGGGGGAGTATAATAAGCTCACATTACCTAAGAAGGGAAATGATACTATAACAGAAACTATCAATCAGATCAAGAAATTATCCTTCAGTGAGGCCTCATATAGTGATAGATAACACAAGAAGAACCACAAGGAATGCGAAATTTGAGGTATGAGACAAGAAACTCCGGCTGAAGACTAATTTGTGATTAGAAAACCAAGTGATTTAACTCAAAAAAATAATACAACCATGGCATATAAGGGTAAGGAAGATGAAGAAGTCACACCTTGAACTAACAGAGAAAGGGCAGCACTAAGAGAGGCATTACGTCTCAATGTTGCAAATGGCTGTCCATTTGATTCCCCAATATTTGGAACCCATGTACCTAAAGGGATAGAACAAATTGGATGTTGAAGAATGGGCAAGGAGCTAGAAGAATGTCTAAAATGCCTGCAAATACCTGAAAAATAAGGTTCACATATTAGCAATGGTTATATGCACTTAACCAGTACACCAAGAGAAAACTTACATTTTAGGATTCCAGCTAGAGAAGCCAAATGTAGCAGCTGCGGAAATGAGACATCCTGTGAAGAAGAGTGAATAATAGGAACTGTCGCAACTTTGTTTTGCAACAGTTTCAAAGCAACATCTTTCAAAGAATCATAAGGCCCAGCCTGAACGGTGCACCAGTAGCAGATATTAGAATAAAAGCAAACTTAAGACATGGTTCACAATTTAAAGCAAGCCAACCTTTGCCTTATATAGGAAAGACGTTATAATGAATAGTTTCTCATTCTGTGGTCTATGATGAAACCAAACACTTATAATCAGCAGAGATAAAAGAACTAAAAGGTCCCATCAAATATGATTTGAAGACATAGCCTTCAGAGAATATCTACCTTGGACATTGTTATGTGCTTGGAGCCTTGACCCACATTGGTTGTCCTAAACATATGGGGTTCAAAAGTCTTACAGATCTAGCCTCAGACGTTTGTTGCCATCCTCATTCAGCTATTCTTTAAGTATGTTATGTTTGTACTTCAACCAAGTTGTTGGTAGCATGAAGTTAGAACATTACCTCTCCACATACGAGTTGCAATCACACACGTTAAGGGAAATGTTTTGTATAAGGCCTGACAAATTATTGTATGAGCCTTGTGTGCCTGCTTATACTGAATACTTGGTGACTTTGAGTTTGATGCTTTAAAGAAATATTTGTTACATATGAGCAGCATATATAATTTCCATATTATATGCTCAAAAATAATTACATTAGGCTAAGAACTCTGGATCTATAATAGTCCACAAAACATAGTAGAATAGCACAAATGTCTTACAAAAACGCACAAAGCCAAAGGACCATGAAGATACACAATGAAATGGGAATAAAAAAACCAAACTCGGCATAGAGTCGCTGCTGAATAGGGGAGCAAATGAATCGAATTGTTCATGAACAACCCGGGATCAGCTCGGACTAAAGCTCGTTCATGTTTGTTCATTTACAAAATGAACCGAGCTCAAGCTCAATTTTAAATATATTTTAATGAATGAACTCAAGTTTGGACATTTCTTGTACGATTTGCCTAGTATCATGAGCAGATTAGAATTTGCTAGTATATAATTATATGGATATATGTGTATCTGTGTGTGAGACACGCTACCATGCACGATATGGATCATTTCATTCCCATGTAGAACACTACCACCATCACCAACCATACCATATTCACAACCTTCATCATTATGAGCAAACGTTTTGCTACTTTTACCATCTTCAGAGGGGTTGCTGCCTAGTTTAAAACTATATACTTAAGGTAGTCTACATTCATAAACAAGCATTGGAGCTCCACCAGCTCTAAGTGGAAACACACAAACTGGGAATGACATTTTAGAACAGAGAGGCAAGGGTACTACAGTAGGAACCACAGATACTTGCCTGGGAGTCGCTGTGGCAATGTCTGACGGACACATGTCCAACACTTCTAGAAGTGTCCTAAACTGGAGAAAAGAATTTTTGCAACCGGATACGGCTCGGATACACGAGGACGGGGCTTAAGTTGGGATACAACGGGGCATCATTTGACATTTTAAAAATTTGAGGGGTTGAAACAAAAAAAAAAAGTTGCCATCGTTCTTAGATTGGAAAAAGAAAAAAAAAAGGGGGAAAAGTGAATTAAGCATTCATCCCCACTTCTCATTCCAGAATCGCGACAAATAGAAAGAAAAGAAGAACGAAAGGCTTCGATCAAACCATCTCCACCAGATCTGCTTTGGCAACGCGGAGAAGTGGAGAAGAAGGAGAGGGAAGACCATACCTACGATTGGCAAATGCAAATCCCCAGGTCACCTACCATCCACTCTCCAGATCGCGTATCACGGTACTAGGTTATTTTTCTTTCTTTTTTTTTTTTTGGTTTTATTAATTTTGTGTTTTGCATGTTTTGGGGTTGATTTTGTGCAATAATTTTACTATTTAGGTTTAGATTTATCTAATTTATTAATTTGATTGGGTTAGGGTTTTCAAATTTTGGAGATATTTTTGGGGTTTTTTTTTTTTTTTTTTTTTGGGGGAGGGGGGGAGGGGGGGTGATAGAGGAACTCTTGTTTGCTTCCAACCGAGCCAAGACCGAGTTTTGGGTTAAAATTTGACGAGACGAGCTTGGTAAAGGTGTTGTGAGCTCCCCACGATCTCAAACATTTTCCACAAATAGACTACCACTGCTTGAACAACCTAGTACTCGGCTCTACTCGATCCATTTTCACTCCTACTGCTGTTGCGGCCACTCAAGCATAACCAACAGTTTTACAATTGAGTAAGTTAAAACACCAGAGCATAATATGGGCCTCGCATGCATATACATAATGTCGAAGAAGAGGTTTTTTTTTTTTCACTAAAGATATCTGCAATAGTTTTTTACTGATAAACAAATAATTCCTTATTGACAAATAAATAAATAAACAATGAATGATGGATACTGTAAGATTCTGGTGAGTCAAGATTATGAAAAGCTCGTGCCCTTTTCTGTGTGTGTTTTTTCCCCCTTTTTTTTTTTTTTTTTTTTTTTTGGCTGGGTGGGGTTGCTAAAAATTGGAAGTAGCATGTAGGGTTTGGGGAAGAAAGTGGTTCCATAAAAGTTCTATTCCGCAAAACTCTTGGTAGAAGCCATCTTCAAGTGTTGCTTGGCCTTCAACTTTGCTTGGTTTAATATAACTTATGTTCCTGAAAACTTTGAACAGAAACATTTTTTGGGGGTTGGATGCTAATTTGAAGACCGAAAGAGTAGGGAGAGGATTAGAGCTTATTGGAGTGGGATTTTTGATGAGAAATTGAAAGACAATAAAAGACCAGTGCTCAGTAGCAGGATCTGACTGCAGAGATAAGAGAGGAATGAATAGAAGAACCATCATCCGCTCCATCATTCTCCTGTGCTTCACCATCTAAAGTTAAGGTGGCATCACACATCACAGAATTTCTAGTTCTATAATATAATATTCTACCAAGTGAAAATTAAATAAGCATCGATAGGCTGTCATAATGTTCCTACTGCTAGATTAGAACTCTAAAAATTGAAAACTGTGAAAGTGGTTCCATAAAAGTTCTATTCCGCAAAACTCTTGGTAGAAGCCATATTCGAGTGTTGCTTGGCCTTCAACTTTGCTTGGTTTAATATAACTTATGTTCCTGAAAACTTTGAACAGAAACATTTTTTGGGGGTTGGATGCTAATTTGAAGACTGAAAGAGTAGGGAGAGGATTAGAGCTTATTGGAGTGGGATTTTCGATGAGAAATTAAAAAGCAATAAAAGACCAGTGTTCAGTAGCAGGATCTGATTGCAGAGATAAGAGAGAAGAGAGGAATGAGTAGAAGAACCATAATCCGCTCCATCATTCTCCTGTGCTTCACCATCTAAAGTTAAGGTGGCATCACACATCACAGAATTTCTAGTTCTATAATATAATATTCTACCAAGTGAAAATTAAATAAGCATCGATAGGCTGTCATAATGTTCCTACTGCTAGATTAGAACTCTAAAAATTGAAAACTGTGAAACTTGGTCCAGTAACATCCTACACCTAGTAAAGACTACTTCACACATCCAAAATCCCACAACTTCAGACAATATCAATTAGTCACTTCCAGAATATATATCTCAGTGAAACCAGACATCGTATATAGGAACCTAAGAAGATGTAATTCTTGTTCAGGGGAGTAATATAAGCCTTTACACAAGGAGATAGTAGAGCAAACATGCCATCGCTACCATCTCATAGCCTGTTGTGCACTTATGCTTCCCTGATTGGACATTAAGGTGTTAGTTCACGTCTGTAATTTTTCAACACTCTATGAATGAAAGCTCTCAGTTGTCTACTGTTAGTTGTTTGATATTGGATTGGACTCTTTTCATATCTAAAATTTCTCTCCAAGCAATATGTATTTTCTCTTTTCTTTTTTCAATTTTGTAAATTGAAGCGCAAAATGTTTTACACATTAAGATATGAAGTATGTGGCAAAACATAATAACTAGGGACTTTGGTAGCTGAAGCAGAAGACTACATGTTATTTATCATCACCTAAACCCAAATATACCACCCATCCAATGTGATGCAAAAGAAATAAACTAACAAAATGAAAATCTGTTGAAATCAATGGTCAGAACTAATTTTGCATGCCATAGAAGGTAGACACGTCATCTACAAGAGGAACTTACGTGTACAAGATGTCTTGAATACGATCTTGCATTGCCATCAATTTGCCTGGAGAGATGTAATTTCACCTCTTTCCATGCTGAAATAGTGTGTGTCTCAAGCTCTTCCTCCGTCAAATTCGATCCATGATTCCCAAGCTGCAAGTTTATGAATTAGACTAACATTCTTCTAGAGTGACTAAGATGTACAAATATATACTACTTTAAAATGTATCTTTGAAAAACTTTTATTTTCCTCTTTTATCATCTAACATTTCTTAATTATCTAAACTACCATGAATAAATATATAATAAAGACAATACAATACACCATTTATTTATTATATTAATATCATTTATGACATACTCCTTATGTTCTACTTTCTCCATTGAATTATCAATTTATGAAACAAGAGAGATGAAGAGATACAACTTCTAAAAGATTATCCCTCTTTCTCTATATATAGAAAACAAGAAGTTGGACATACTGTATACTAAAGAAAAAAAAGGTAAAGACAATACAATTAAGGATATGAAAAGTTTGATGGCTGGAAGTGAGTGGTCCACTACCTGTAGCCGTTATATAAGGTTTTTGACCTTCCCATCCTAAATTCAATAATCATTCTCTAACCTTTTCATGTTGTCTTTCTATTACTCTTCTCCCTTTTCATATCTTTTTATTATTGTAGATTTCTATTAATTTTGTTTGTTGATTGCATGTCTCTTATTGAAAATAGAAGTACATTCCAACTTGGGATCTGTTAGAAACCTACTTTTAGTTTTATCCGATGAATGTCATTTTATTTAAAAAATTAAACCAAGCATGATTTACCAATTTATTAACAATGAAAGACTTGTGCGAGTTGTTTCGACTTCAGTGGGTCTTCTAATGTCAAAAGTAAGGAGTTGTTTTAAGACCAATTAGGAGTATCGATACTTCTGTCATGCTTGTCTTACGCTTTAGATTTTTTAATTGGAGTAGGTGATGTATTCAGGTTTCAAATATTTATGCAACTATTTGTAGCTTAGTAACATTGCACATCATTTATGTTTGTTCAAATTTTTTTACTAACATTGTTGAGGTTTACCAAAGAATGTGTTTTGGGTCACAACGGAATATTTTATTATTGGTATTTAGATGGTATCATTAAATAAATTGGGGTAATACAACAGACACTACAAAGAATTGATAAATATTTTTTGTCCTTTTATGTGAATCATTCCCAAGTATATGTTCAATTGTTCAATAACTAGAGTAACACGACTGTTTATAACACGACTGTTTATGGTCTCTAATTAAGAATTAACATTCTTTTTACCTATATGCAAGATAAAATTTTAAATAAAAAAATAATCCTATGATTTTTATTTCAGTTTTTGGTTTAAGTGTTACAGACAAAGAAGCAATTGGACATAACAATAGAGTGATACTACTGCTATCTAATTTATTTATTTGTTCATATTTTGACCCAACAAAAATGAAACATTCTTTAATTGATTCAAACTTGCGAAGGGCATAGTCTTTGAGACTATTATGTTGTAATTTCGATCTTTGAACTAACATTACCAGTATAACTACAAGTTAATATTGTCACGTGCAATACACGTGTGCACAAACTAGTAACCAAAAAAACACATGCAAACCCACCCAACCCCAAAATAATATCTTAATAGATAGAGATATAGTAAGATTCTCCTTGCCGAGATTGCAGAGAATAAGTTCGATGGCTCCTTCTGAAGGTCTGCACCCACAACAAAAATATGGGATGCTGCAACACTGAAACATATTGAGTTTCAAAGGAGTATGTCACACCAAATCAACCAGCCAAAAGAGTACATAAAGTTCCAGGATCACATCCATAAACATGCACATAAGCCTCCTAAACCAATTGCTGGTGCTAGATAATGAATGCCCGCCATCACTTAATTGTGGCTGCCAAACATAGAAGGGGTGGGGTACCAATGAAAAGTTTTTGAACTATTAGACGCAGATTCTAATGGCAAGAAAAAACCATCTTAACAGCGGCGAAAATATATTGATCTTGGTCTAGGTGTGTTGTTTGTTGGGAGTTAGGTTTTTTTTTTTTTTTTAGTAAGGGGGGGGGGGGGGGGGGGAAGGGGGCAGAGAGAGAGAGAGAGAGAGACAGTAAACTGAAGCTTTTATAGGACATTTTCAAACAGGGGCCCTTGTGGAAGTGTCCCAATATTATGACATGTTAATTCAAACCCCATGTAATTAGCTAATTGGGTAAAAATCTCTAACCCAATCCTGCTAATTTTGCATTGGGTTCGAGTTAAATTAAGGTTCATGTTGAAAATTGTCACTCTTGTAAAAATCTCTTAACTCAAAACTGCTAATTTTGCATTGCGTTCAAATTATATCAAGGTTGATGTTGAAATTGTCACTCTTAATAACAAGAAGAATTAATATTTGAATAATACTAAATTGTAGTCAATGACTGGAATACCTTCATGTGCATGTCTCCATATACAAATATATAAGGATATGCATTCTACCCTCAAAACTCATATTCAGACTCAAGATATCGCAAAAAGTTCTGCTTTTAACAAATTACTGTAGTCTGTGCTCACCTAGAGAGACTTACTATCGAACATCTTACTACATTGAGAATAATAGAAAAATATTTGGAACAGACACGCAGAAGCTTTCAAGTTAAAACTTATCAATTTGCAATTCAATCAGGAAAACAAAACCTTTTGTGTTCACAAAGCTATGGATATATTTTCTCAAAAAAACCCTCCAGAGTTGGGATTTAGAAATATTAACCAAAATACAACTTTATTCCAAAATAGTGAAACAAATTGGTTGGCAAATAATAATGATCTGGAAGAAAATTACAATAGTGCATACCTCTCTGAGAATCAAGATGAAATCTAGTGCACTGAGAACTCCAACAAATCGGCCCTTGCAAAAATCCCAGAGAGGAGCCACAGGAATTCCCTGAAAATAGCTTCACTCAGATAAGATAAAATCCAGTAAGATCTATGTAATCTGGATAGGAAGAAGAGGTTCAGAAACCCATATACAGGATACTTATTCAATTTGTCAAATCAAGTACTGGATAAGCATCATTCCATATTGAAATTTGAACCCACACAGTCTTCCATATTTGACCAACTTACCATGTTAATAATTTTTTCTATCTTCACCGCTCATTTTAGTGCTACCCTCGAGTCAGAGAACCAAATGGAGTTTTAGGTCAAAGCCTTGTGAAATGTTTATAAAATCTAAATAAACAATAATAAAGTTATGAAATCATTGAAATGCCGAAGACAAGTACACAGTTTAGTCTATTTTAGGTTGCAGAAAACATGTTAAATTTGGGTGACCTAAAGAACATGCAAAAAATGCACAAGCACGCTCACACAAGCAAGGGCAGATATTATCAAATCAAGTACTTGATAAGGCATCATTACATATTGAAATTTGAAGCCACCAAGTCTTCCATATTTGACCAACTTACGATGTTAATAACTTTTTCTATCTTCACCCTTCATTTTAGTCCTACCCTTGAAAAATCATTGAAATGCAGAAGACAAGTACACTGTTTAGTCTATTTTAGATTGTAGAAAACATGTTAAATTTGGGTGACCTAAAGAACATGCAAAAAATGCACATGCACATGCACACGCACACAACCAAACCATTCCACCTAAAATCATCACTGATACCTCCACTGGCAATTGTCAGAAAAACAGAATTCAGTAATGCAGAATATGCAAAACTGATGTGTACAAGATCTGAGTGGCGTTCATTCAAGATTACCTGTTCATAGAGAATATGAAATGCTTGCTTCACTGGTAAATTCACGTCCAAGGCAATGACCTACAGAAGCATTGTGCCATAAAAATTTAGCTAGACCAAATTACGCCATCCCAAAAAATTACTGAACAATGAGTTCATAAAGACAGGCCCAGCATCCAAACCTTGCCAGAGTCAGGAAGTAATTCATAAGCAGTATGCGTAGACAAGAATACAGATATACGATGGCGAGATAACTCTATATCAGCTTGTGATATCCTAGGAACTGCTTCCTGCAAATTACCATCTGAGAACATTACCAATCTGTGTGTCACAATAAGATTCAAAGTGTATTACTTGGAAATCATAATGCTGGTATCAGGGTGCCATCTTATCCACAGTTTTCTCTCTCTTCAAAAAGCCCCTCTTGACTTTAATCTTTGCACGTAATTGCGAACTAGACCCTAGGAATTATAGGCTCCACTACAAACATTCCAAGTAAAAAAGAAATTCCTGTAAACTTTAGCAGTTATATACGTCATACATGTCAGATGCATCATCACAAATTCTGATTGGAATTAATGAGGTCATCCTTGTCCAGCAGGCATGTTAATTTTCACATCTATCGTATGCAAGATGTTGGGACTTGGAGAAAATGTTGAAGAAAAATCAAGTAGGGCCTTCACTTAAATAACAGAACACAAAGAATGCAAAAAAAAAAGTGTGGCAGGACAAGCAATGTGAACCTCTACATATCCCTGCTATAACAAGTCCCTACAATCCCCTCACATAAAGATGGCAAACAGAGAGCACTTGGCAAGCGGCCAAAACAAAAGTAGTTTTTCTTTTATGGGGAAAAACAAAAAAGCATAAAATAATACCTAAAGAACATTTTAGTGGTAAGTATTAGGAGTCTCTTACCTGTCGAAGAATGGGATCATTATCCACATCCATATTCGATCTACCAGGCATATCTGAGCTAAAAAAAGCAGGAATCATATCAGGTTCTAAGAAGATAGTGTTCACTACCCCGTAATTTCCGCTTACAAACGGTTGGTTCTCATCGTGCCGCCATTCTCCATCAACAAAAAACTTGAACTGCATACCAATCAAAATAACACATCTGAGCATTAGTGCCTGAGGTAGATGTTCACACTTCAATTGGCCAATAAAAAGACAAGCTCTAAAACTGAAGAATGTTCATAAACAATTTGGAAATCTTGAAGGTCAGAGATTCTAGACATGGATATTTTTAACTATTAAAGTTCTGGCCTTTTTTAACAGCAACAAAAAAATTTATTAACCAAAGACAATAAAGTACATGGGAGCGAATGAGTAGCTTTCCAATCAACCCTAATCAAGAACAAGGGGAAATGCACAACCTCAGGAGACATCGAAACACAAAAGTAGGCCAAGAAGTGATACTCTCCCACAAAGTAATGTCATTCTCAATCTTATCTCCAATGATCCTAGCATTTCTCTCTACAATAAGACCTAAAAGGTTGAGTACGCACACATCTCCACATAATACGAGCCTTCTTGCTTTTGCCAAAATTAAAAAGATCAATCAAAATGTCTCCTCAAAAGAAAATGGAGAAACTCATCTCATCTCTGCCAATGAGAATAATCCTCTCCATAACAATAAGGCTGGTGTATAATGTAGAAAAAGATGATTAGTAGTCTTCTCACACCTGCATATTATGCATCATAGGGGATACAAAGCACATTGGTCTCTTCTAAAGCAAACTATTAGGATTAAGTTTCTTTGGAGCCACAGTCCAAAAGAAATTTTGACCTATAAGGTGCACTTTTGCTTTCCCAATCAACTTAGAGGGGCTAAAATAAGGGACAGAAGATCATCAATGAATAAATTACAAAAAAAATTACAAGAGAAATCTCCAAAAGAATGACGCAACCATATCCTTCTACCATGAATAGATTGCCTAAGAGCAACCGCGCCTAATAAGGATAAAAAATATGAAAGCTAATTCAGATCACTACATTAGGATTCCTAAAAAATGGAAATTCCATTTAAGAAGTTATGAGGAGCAAGACCCTGAAAACATAATTCGAACATTATGAAAACAGTATAAATGGTAGAAACGAGAAAATAAAATAAAGTTGAAAAATAACAATCACCTCCACACATCTTCCCAAAGAAAAATGAGCTAATATCTATAAGAAATTTTTCGATGGGCTTCTAGAAGTCCTCCAATGAATCAAATGGGAATCTCATCCATGATTTAAAATGTTATGCTTACTTTTCATAACAGCATGCCACAAAGAATCACATGCATAGGGACTCTCCACAACTGTTTCCTCATCAGGTCCGTATTCATAACATAAATATTGTCAGGTATCAAGCCCCCCTTTTCTTAGGAATAAGAAAATCTCCCATTCGACCAAGTGATCATTTTTACTTCCCTATGCGCTTCCCACAAGAAATCTCTAACTAATATCTCCTCATTTTTGCCACCTTTAATGAGATTTTCAAAAAAGGCATATAATGAACTGGGAAAATAGATAACTCCAATGGTACCAATGCTAGTTTTCCTCTTTTCGAAATCAAAGCTTATTGTCACCCATCTAGTCTGTTTGGAAAAAAAAAATGGATAAAACCTAAACACCATTGAAGGAGTTTAGGAAAGCTATTAAAGCTATTGTTTCTCAAAATCATTCAATGATGGCAAAGATAAAATAAAAGAATCTCATCAAGACACCTATCATTTGAACCTTATTCAAAAAAAATAGTAGTTAATTCTCCACATGTTTTCATTGATGTTTAGGTTCATGCGGTCCCCAGGGTGCGAGGGAGGGGTGGGGTGTAACTATAAGCTTTGTTTAGAACACATAACCGGTCGAAATTGTCACAAACTGAACCTAGAGCCCTCAAACCTCAATATAATGCAACACTCCATGGAATCCCAATTACGAAAAAAAGTCCTCCAATTATAATTGTCTCTCAGAATGGTACAATTCTGAGTCTCATGCCAAATTTTAATTATATTCTCTAGGCACCCAAGTCTTTGGACGGCTTGAACGAACTCTGGATCCCACCAACATCGACTCACAAGCTTATAATATGAAACTGAGCGTAAGTGGAATGAGCTAAACAGTCAGTAAGTAGAATAAAACAAATGACATGCGCTGAACCTATATAGGAAAATGCATAAACATAAGGACACTGATAGAAAGGTAAGTCTCTTACAAACAGAACACTTGATTCAGAGTTTCATGGTGACTAAGCAGATGACAACAACTAATGGTCATGCAAAACAAGCACACCGTCTGAAATTACCCATTATGCATATACAAAGTGATAGACTTCATTCGACTGTTTGGATGCAAGAACAAAGATTAGCTGTATAGGCTCATTTCAAAGAAAAAGATAACCAAAATAAAGAATGACTTCTTTACAATGCCAATGATAAATAAAAATGGCGTAATCACAAATAGTTAACACTTTAAGCAAGCATAGGTGTAGTTATGATTAATTGTCATAAACTCAAATCATCTATTTAAGTCTTTTGAGATAAAATTATTTATTGCCAATCTATGCTTAACAAAATGCAATTGGTGAATAGAGTGGAGAATATAAAATAACAGAAATACAGACACAAGGAATATATTGACCTGGTGATATCCTGGCGTTAAGTTGTACATAACTTGAAATACAGTAGGGCAACCCTCCATTGGAGACATTGGTATAGGATCAGACCACCTGCACATTGAAAATTACCAGTTACATCCCTACCACACATCCAATCAGATTATCAATACAATTAACCGAATGTACAAATAACATAAAGAACTATAAAGAACTCCACATAGATTCATAGAACCAGATCAATCATATAAAATCAAAGCCAAATCATTCAAGTCCCTCACCTGGTGAAAGAGCCACTTAGAAACACCCTTCTTCCCCCATAAGGCCACACAAAACGCGCTGGTATCAATACCGGCCCCGAAACCCCACTATTATCATGCCCAGAATCTGCACCCGAAACAAACATCTCCACCAAAAATTATTGCAAACCCACAAGACCAATCCTCCAAAACTACAAAAAAACTACCCAATTGAGCTATTCTCTTACTTCACTTTGTAACTGAACCAATAAAAATGACAACATTCTATCTCAGTATGTAATAGCAAACATCCACAGTGCAAACCTGAAATTTATGGGATCCTCCACGAAATAGCAGACGACCCCTTACTAATTCGACATGCAAAACCGCCAAATCAGACAAAACACACCATAGCCCAGAAAATTCACTATCCAACACTTCTCTTTACACCCCGCCCCCCGCCCCAAAGCCACAAACTTCAACACGTCAACCAAGTTCCTTCAAATCTACACTGGAACAGCCAAGATATAACCCAGCAAACGTATAAATAACCTCAAACTCAACTCTGTACGAAAAATATGGACCAACTTCACCAGATCAGGCTTCCACAAACACCCTCCAAATACACCTAAATAAAATATGAAGCTATTAGATTAAGTGTCCAATTCGAGCTCTGATCTAGACAAAAACCTATTTTCTCAGCCAAATCGAATTGTAAGCCTCTAAATTTCGAGCCTTCATGCGCAAACAGAAAGAAATCGAACTGATTTCAGAGAAATTTGAGATGAAAATGGAATTGAACACAGCCTCCTGAGAGAGAAACAGAGAACTCGGAGAGTGTCAACATTGTTGGATCTTCTAATCTCTGCAATCTGGCGAGTGTGGAAAACCAATCATCAATTAAACACAAGAAAGAAACGAAGAAAAAGAGTAGTGGTATGGACAATAAATCAATACACACACATATCCGTGTGGGTGTGTGTTGGGGGAGACTGTTTTGCTTCTTTTTCCTTTTTTTCTTCTGTTTCTTTTCTTTTTCCGTTTTGTTTTTTTCAGATACAAACAACACATTCGGTTTAAGGTTAAACAAGAGAGGTGTATTGTTCGACCTCCACTCAAAAAAACAAGGGTAATTCTCACTTTAGTTTACCTAGTTTGGACACAGCCTCTGTGTAGTCTCAAATGTTACATAACCCTGATGTGCTATATAGATTAGACTATACCGTCAATAATTTCTTTCTTAGTTGATTGTAATTGTGTCCCAATCACATCAACTGTGACATGGGCATGACAAAATAATTTTTTCTCCAAAACGCCAAAGTTGTAAAATTAAAATGTCCAAACTCCCTCGTTTTTGATGGATCATATATTGATACCTTGTACTAGATATTCTTTCGTCAGTACTAATTTTTACTTTATTTAAACATAAATAAAATGTTGGAATAAGATTTTATTGAGTAAATTGAGTTGTTTCATTTATAAATATATAGGTACATTCAAATAACATCTACAAGTTATATAGGAAGAAGACAAACACTTGACTTAATATTCACTACAAAATATTATTGACGTGGTTGAGTCGGAGAAACCAGCAAAAGAGATGTTTTATTACATATGTGGGAGAACAATAATTGTAATTATTAGGCGCGGTATAATCCAAACACAACAACATAGATACCAAGTAGAGTAACAACCGTCCATGAAAAGAGCATTATGCTGAGAAGCCAACATTTGAAGATGTTGATGAACATTGCACTACAATGTAGTGCGCGAGGTTATTGGTACTTGAAGCTAAGTAAGAGGCGAGGACAAACATGATGAGAGCAAGATTGCTGCTTTTTGTTATCTGTGTGGTCATCACTTTGTTAGTCATTTGCAATGACATAAGTCATTTGTATTCCTACCTAATCTTGCAACCTTTCCACATTTAGTTGACAACTTTGTAGTCTGTGAAACGTAGAATTACATGTAACCACCAAAGCTAAATAAGATTAGAAGCAAAAACTCAGTTACTGAGAGTTTGGTATTGTCCGACCATTGGTAATGTGAATTTTAGATCATATTTTGTAATTAGTTAATTTTGTGGAGTCTATTGTAAATTTTAACTTTTGTTATAGTCATGATGCTATCAAGTTGAAGATCTGAAAACATCATTAAAAGGAGGATATCAAGCACTAAAGCAACACCATTCAACTTTCTTATGTACCTTTATGCTTAGGATAAAGATAATGACCTAGACATCTAAGATGAACCTCCAATTATTTTAACTTAAGAAGATTATGATGAAAATGGAATCGAAAGCAATCCATGTATGGTTCCTAGGTGATTTCAAAAGAAAGGATTGTCTAAATCATTTTGCATTTTGAAAATATAGATTGAGTCATTATTAGACTCCCCTTAAGCAACACTCTTTATTGCTCAAGATAACTAGTTTTTGCTTGGTTTTGTTCTTCAAAAATCAGTAGAGACCAAGTTATGCTCACCAACCTTAGTTAGAACGGTCTCTTTGACTTAGGGAATTAGACGAGAAAAGCCCACAAGGGAACAACACAGAGCTCGCTCTATGAGCTCACTTGAATGGTCCTTCATGGTTGCTCGAGCAGTGCTACTCTTAGACAAGATGGAATCGTGATTTTCGTTTCAGTGCCAATCGCCCTCTGACCGCCCGCCCCTTCCACCGATTGAGCAATTGTTCACGAATCTATTGAGCGGTTGTTCACGAATATAAGTTTTCTTATTTATTAAGACTATCCTTATTTAGAACCTATAAATAGGGAAAGCCTTTTCCTCAGTTGGGTTAAGCCTCTTGTGAGATTTCTAAGAGAGAAAACACTTATTCTACCTTGAGAGTTTTCGTAACTAACTTAGATCCCTAAATCCAAAAACTACCATTAGAGATTCTATCCAACCCCACAAAACTCAGAGTTGAAGATTTTGACAGTGTAAACCAAACTCATTGGTATGTGTATACCGGAGATCGTTGGCATGTCAATGATTGCTCGAGACCTAGACGAACCGTGCAATAGGGAGGTCCAAGTGAAGCAACACTAGATGTTAAAGTAGGGCATTTGATGCAAATACAATAAGGAAATGAGCATTTAACCATAATAATGGTTCAGGTATAAGAGTTGAGTACTTGTATGTTGACTTAGCGAGTAGTGAATTGGGTTTTAGTAAATCGAGAAGGTTCTCAGCGGTTTTTCCCAAGGAGGGTTTTTTGTGTTAACAAATTACTTGTGTTTTTTATTATTTATTGTACACACTTGTGATTGTGAGCACATGCGCACACTATATGTTTGTTGAAATAATTGTTTGAATATCTATCCATACATATTTGTGCATTAGATTTGGGATTTGGAATCATCATGAAATTGATTATAAGTAAATTAATTTAAGATTAATTAAAATCAATCGTCATGGTTAATCTGGATTATGGTGACTAAAGGGGGTCTCACATGAATTGCTATATCTTTGTGAGAAGAGGAAATTGTAGTGGTTTATGTTTTCATTGGTAATCAATTAGGCTAAAATTAAAAAACTTATTCACTCTCCTCTAGATAAAGTATTTATAACTCCATGTGTATAATCGTGAGGGAACATTCATATCGAATTTCTCCTCCCCGAATAACAATAAACACCAATGATTGGCTAAGAATCGAATGCCCTTAAGATAACACCAAAAATTATGTGTGACCGAGATTCCATTGAGCCAGTGGTAGTTGTAGTAGTATCACCAGTGCCAAACTGAGATCCAAATGACCTCACACCAACACTAAAAACAGTTATAGTAAGACCACAAGTAGTTGGCTGAGATCTAGACGTCCTTACAACAATAACTAGTGACTGACTATCTTTGCGAGCACAATAGTTAAGTTATATTTTGTGGGGATGATTTAAGGTACAATGTAAATTACAGACAAAGAAATTTATCCTTAGCAATTTTGACTATAGATGGATTTTATTCTTATATGATCTATTTTGCTGACCATGCATCAAAAACTTGGCACAAGTACATTTAGATTCTTCTTAGAAGTTTTTTGTGGGTTTCTACGTTTATCTGATGACCTTTTTCTCAACTTCTTGGGCCTGCCCTGTTGTTCCCTTACACTTGGTGAGTTAAGTGGGTACAATCCTATTTCAATATAATGATGCACTCTAGGTATTGCAAGTATCATGTATGAATAAGTGGCGAGTTAGTTGGATTTACCATAGCATTGGTGAACATATGACTCCACTGATTCATGATTCTCTTGAATTGCACCCACAATGGCAACATTGAGTACCAGACATATTTCATCTCAATCACGATTTCTAGGGATAACAAATTATACAAGAAATAAGGTTAAGGCTCAATTTATATAAAAAATGGCTTAAAATCATATATCAAGAGTTTTTAGTAACACATTTCTCGTGCAAATAATTCAGAGTCAAGTAATAATTCACAAAATTAGCATTGAACAAGATAAAAATAATGAGACTGTTCAAAGAAAATAGTTGAATAAAATGATTCTTTATTGAGAAAAATGAAGATAACCCTCTGAAAAGAGATTAGTTCAAAACTCACCAAGGTTACTATGCATCTCCACCATATTTTTTTTTTCTTTTAAAAAAAAAAATTTTTTTTTTGGAGGGGGAGGGAGAGGGGAGGGGAGATTTGAACCCTTGACCTCAAGAAGCAAAACATTCACAAGGTAAGAAATATCATTGGACCAAAGGGTCATTGCTGCATCTCCACTATATATTTCAAGTTATGAAGGCAAAAGTTACCTAATAAATTCTAATTTTTTACAAGTCCAGAAGTGAAAAAAATGTGAGTTTCTATGAGAACTTTACACAAAATACCATAAATATAGAGTAAAGTTTCATTCCTTACTTAAACAGCTATAAGTCATAGCTAAGCTAATTGCTCCTAAATTCTAATGTTAATTCATAAATGTGAATGTAATTTAAACATTCAACAGCTTACATAATGAGCATAAAACAAAAACTAAATGTAACAAAGAAAATGTTCATTACTAAAACTTAGATAAACAACTGACTCAACTGATTAAGCCTAGATTCCCTAATAACACTACTCTTAAAGGCTTTGATCATTGACACTGTGTTCAAAAAATCATAGCAACAAAAGAAAAAGGTAAAAACTGGGACCAAAGAAGATAACAAGGCCAAATCTTAGGGGCTCTACGAAGCAGGATCTGGACGATCTTAAGGATGACCCATGCTTTAGAGGATGGCCTCATGCTATGCAAGTTGAGCTCTGATCAGCCTCCTCTCTCTCTTAGCCTCCTGTTGTGCTCTCAGTAAGGAAAATAGTAGCTGCCTGTTAGTTCTCATTTATGTATCATCATCTATCCGCTCATTATCCCCCAAATTCGAATACTAGTCTGCCTTTCACTTTACTATCCTCTACAAATATTTTTATCATGAAACACTTTCATTCATTCAAATGACCTCAAGACCTCAGAATCGCTCTAACCTTAGGACCACTAGAGCTGTCTCAAGATGCTTGAGTAGCTTGAGAGTAACTCAAAGGAGTCATGAATGGATTAAACACCAATTCCATTTTACCCTAATAATCCTAAGTCTATAATTAATCCAAGAGTTCTTAGGTCTCTAAGGCCACTATCTTTGTCCTAATCATGAAGGAGCATTTGGAGATTCTTTGATATGTCGTTGTAGGTTGAACTCCTCCCTTCATTTAACAACGCTTTTGGATCTTGAACTTTGTAGCATCATGATCATGGAATAGGTTGAGATTTATAAAAGAATTCATGGAATTTGTCAATTACAAACATGATCCTAATAATATCACCCTTTGGCAATTTCGTGATAAAATAAAAAAGTAATAAATTTATAATGTCAACCCACAAACCATTTAAAAAATGAATTGTAAATAAATCTCAGCACTCAAGTACAAGTTTCTAAATCT